TGACTTGACCCATGAAAACGTAATTAGTTCAGAATGATACAAGTTCAACTATAGCATGCAAGTGACAGCTTGACTTGCATATTAAACAGTTAAACTGCCAAAAAAGTGATCTAGTTATTTCGAGAATTGAATAAATTTGCTTAGCATGAGGCTCATTTTGCTGACATCAAGGTAACATAAGCTCTTAAAAGATAAAATAATGATAGTAACATGTGCGCATAGCTATTTATAATTGTCGGAAATCAAATAAGCTAAAATTTGTTGGAAACAATTGGATTTCGCTTTCAGAGCAAGGCTTCACTTGTAATTTTCGACAAAGATGGCACTTTAATTTGTTTTCATTCCACGTGGGTTCCATGGGCGATAAATGTGGCCAAGAAGTAATTCCTGGTTTTTCTTGGACAGTTTAAATTATTTGAAGTTGCTCAAAATAGTTTTTAGCAAAAATTTAAGGCAGAGAAACAAACTACAATTTATTAAACATATTACAGAATAAGTGAAGCAATAAATATGAATGTTGAAAAAGAAATATATTCGTTGCTGGGCTTGCACGAGAAGGAACAGAAGGTGAAATCTGGGCTTCTCGCTGAAGGAACTATGGCACAAATACGTGATGCCATTGCCCGGTTGCTGATTAATCGCGGAATTGAAGCTACTGATGCTGTTAAAGTCTTTGTTTCCTGCAATTCCAAATTTAGATTTGGATATTTTTTTTGCTGAGATAATTTTCCTCTCTCGCATGAAATGAATGTAACAGGATGATTCTTTTTCATTTTTCAATTGTGCAAAAATCGTTATCACTTCGATTTTATTACTTTTTTATTAAGATGACATTATCGGTTGATTTGCGGCCTAAAATACGCTTGCAGCATATTATGGCAGCAATCCTAGAGTCGAATGAATCCAGTGGTCAAGCTGCTAAAGAAATTTCTGATTTGCGTTCATTATTCCGGCAACTACGAGAAAACGGAATCAAAATAGCCATTTGCACCTCAGACAGCCGGTGAGTTCTCGCGGCACTTACATTTTTTGAAATTTCTGAAAACCAACTAAACTTCTAATGATAACTAAAATTCAGCTCACGCATAATTTATTCATCAAGTACATTCAATCGATTACAAATAGAAAATCATTTACACTGAAAGAGTGTAATCATGCTGTTGCTGCATATTGCATAGAGTAACGTAAACAGTTGTTATGGATAACTTTCGTCTGCTTTGTGCATATACTCTGATGACATTATTTAAGGAAAAATGTGCCAGCATAATATTTCCAACTTTTTATTTTCGAAACTTTTACTTGTCAAATTCAAGTAATTTTTTCCTCAGAAAAGGGACCTTAACTACATTACGACGATTACAATTGGAAGATCATGTTGATGTAGTAGTGTGCGGTGATGATGCTGGTTCCATACCAAAACCTCATCCTCATAATGCACTTTCCATATGTCGTGCGTTGGATGTTGATCCACAAGTAAGCTTCATAAAATTGGAAGTTCAGAAGTTTTTCTTTATTTGTTTTATTTTCAATGAAGTTTCACTTTCATGAAAAGTTTGTTTTAAAGTATCACCTACAATTAATTTGCTAAAAATTGAATGATGTCATCATAAGGTCTGTACCAGATTTTGAATGGAACTGATTACACTTATTTAGTGTCTTAAAATCTAAATTATTTAATTTTCGTACAATATGGGAAAATTATTTTCAGGATACACTTGTAGTAGGTGATACTTTAGCTGATATGGGTATGGGACGTTCCGCTAATCTTGGTAGTACTGTTGGAGTACTTTCCGGAGTATGTGACATCAATGAACTGCGACCACAAGCTGATCACATTGTAAGAACGTGCAATGTGAACCATCTTATCAGATTATCAACTAATTGATTATTCATTCAATCGTTTTAGGTTCGCGATGTTAGTGAGCTGTTACCCATTGTACTGGATATGAGGAGATGGTCACTGTCATGATTACTGATATCCGCCTTTGATAAATTATTCACCAAATTCTTTCACAGTTTTCCTTCTTCCATTAATATATCTAAATGAATTAAACTAAAAATTCATTGGAGTTGATTTGTTAGTAACGTAATTATAAGACACAGTATTATCATTAAAGAAATCAGCTCAACAACAACAATTGCAACTTTTTATTTGCAATCTCACGATTTGAAATGCCACTCGTTCCAGTTATGTTTTGAAATGCTTTTCAAACTGATAATACTTATTTGCTTTATATAATCTTCAAGTACTCTATTACGACACGATGTTCCAGAATTGCTTAGGAACATCAGTGATATAGGATCATTTAGTCACCTGAGATGACTATTTCTTGATGGAAATAATTACGACAAATAGTTATTATATTACAATAAATAGTTGCAACAAATTTTCCTCTGTACATGAGTGATCACTGAAGAACAAGTATTACAATAAATAGTGCAAATAACTGTATATTCCGGCAGCACATTTCGTCTATTGCAATGAAGATTGTGACACATATAGTGAGTGATCAAGTAGGATTTAATAAAAAGTACAGGTGAAAAGCAAATTTTGATTTTAAAATATTCTTAACAATTAATGTTATTCCTCTCGAACTACTATTATCAAAACAACTTGATTAGATAGTCAAAACACAAATGATATCTCATGCAAAACGACAACATATAAAATCAGAAATTTAATGGCATTCTTGATTCTGCTTAAAAAAAGTCAAAACAGAAGATATCAGTGCAAAAAAAAACGAATTCGTCAAATGGTGTTTTACTACACAAATGATGTTTTAAAGCTAATTTGGTATTTTTAATCAGCTGATTAGCTGATTTCTCAGATTTCAATTCCTTTTACACTACAATTTCTTATGTTACAACTAAAAAGTAAAGTATATTTATTTAACTTGAAATCAAGCATCCAGATACCTCATGCTAGTAAGGCTTTAAAAATCCCTCATTTTCTCACAGAGGGTACAGTATGAGACATGAACTTGTAATGCAAGTAAATTAACCCAATATATTTATTCAGTTATATTCAAAATTTTCAAAACATGCTAATAAACTTTTATTTGATTAAGTGGAACATTGTCCTGCCAAACAGGTTATTACTCTAGCAACTATATCTTTCTGAGCGAAAATTGTTATCATTTGGTTCTTTTTCTAAAAAGTGAAGGCGGAGAGACAGCTGTATTGATATTGCTTAGCCACTATAGTCGAAATACATACATAAACTTTAAAGGCATCAATAAACATACACTGCAACATCAGTAAACATATCTGCATTAACTGATTATTGTTGTAAAGTTAATTGAAATTGTGACGATCGAGACCACCCACGAAGCTTTCATATAGGTCTATGTAATGTCATTGTCTCTTGTTGCTGCAAGCTACCTGCATCAGACCATTGCTGTTGATTACTGTAAAGCAAGTTGAGATTATTTGAAAGTATGCCGGAAATGTTGCGTGAATGGAATGTGGAATATGATAACACTGATCTAATCTTATCACATAATTTGATAAGAATCATTTAATATTATTAATTCAATCAGAGCATTTTGGAATGTTCAGAAATGCTAGCGTTTTGATATTTTATGTTCCCTCTGCCTACAGTATTTTGATGGAGCCATTCGTAACATGTGAGATGGTTGTGAGAGAGACTGTTGTTTCAAATGATAACTACAAAACTTCCTAAACATATGCTTTACAGGTTGTCAAGCGACTTTTCCCTCGCTATGAAAGTTTTTCACCTCGATGTATTTGTTCTGAATTCCTTTCTTTGGATTAGGAGACTCCGTCCGACCAAGCACTGCTTTTATTGCATTGATTTCCATTAGTGTCGCATTTGCTTGTTATAACAATCTAGCTAGAGGAAATTTCAACAGATAATGAAGATATATGCATTGTACAACGTATACAAATAAGATTTATGCATTGTACGATATCAGATAGGAAGTTTGTAAAATGAACAAAGGTTGGCGATATTTAATCTATGCTTCAAATATCACCAAATGTAGTGCTAGAATTACATGCAGTTATCTCTCTCACACAGTCACTAGAGTTTAAAGTACACATCATTGCAGAAGTTAGACCACAAATTTTCTTTTTCCTAACATGTATGGTTAATGACAGGCTGGTGGCTAATTATCGACCCTGTATTAAGCGTACGCGAGTTTCAATAATAAAGGTCTAAAAATCTCTCAAACCTTCACCTTTTCCCTTTCGGCAGAACAGCCTAGTCAAGAAGGGATATATTGTTCACTAGCTTTAACTCACTTTTCTCACTTCATAATAACATTAGTTACTTCACGTGATCGGGAACCAGTTTTTCCATCAGACCTGCTTAATTTTAGTTTGAAAGAATAATAAGATCAATATTTTGTAGATTACATTTGCAGGGCGTATTTGTTTAGGCAGGCCTTGAATTAAATCATTTGGATGCACACGTCACTGCTGAAGAACGCTAATACTTCCACATAACGTATTGTCCCCTGAAGACTCTAGTATCATAAATCATAAGGGATTTTTATAATAACGACAAATTTTCTCATAACTAATAGGCCTTCCATTCCGGTTTTTCACAATAATGTGGTACAAATATTTAGGATCCCGGTGAATGGCCTGTATAATTCACATGTGCTCCCATCTCCCCGTCTTCTCTTGCTCGTTCGATTGACTGTTACCAAAATGATCTTTGTCCATTCCCGTGCTCTCTTCCGATGTATCAACTTCGTGGTGATATAGAGGATATGTTACCTGCTAGCAGTAGCTGAGAATCATAAGGCAAGATGTCTTTTGTAGCACAAGCAAAAACATTTAATAAATATGCACTGCGGTGTGGCACAATATTTTTTTTGTACAAGCCTTTTTGCAATGCTGTCACTAGATTCCAGCGTCACGCACTGGAATGACACCACTTGTTGTGAAAACAGATGTTCGTTCATAGAGTGCAACTAGCTATAAATGTTTAAAAATTTCCAAGCGAGAAAGGTGGCCGGTGGCTAATTATTTATATGTACCTCAAATATCGGCTTTTTTTTTATCCTCAGCGCTATGGTTCAGCTACTTTTAAATGTGAGTAACCAAAACTGTAAATGTTAAAAAAGAAAACGTAGGGCAGACAGTATCCAAATTCTTCCTTGTCTATTCGACGTTCTATATTGTCTTAAAGACTTATAAACGCGTTTCAGCATGTATAGGTAAAAACCAGAAGTTTAAAAAGACGTGAGGTGTACATAATGCAAAGATTTAAACATGAGACGCCAAATAACCTAAGTTTTTTACCATTAATCTGCAGACACTGTGAAGATAAATAAATAGCTTCAGTCTCATTATGAGATTAACAGCGAAAGTTGCCAAGTAGTTTTTTTCGCATATGCTAAAACTAGTTTGGTACGCGAAGAGTATATTAACACTGCGTTTAATCTGGAATAGTGGTAAATAGCAATGCTTAAAAGTATGTTCACCTTTAGTTTTTTTTTACAGCTATTTCAAGAATCTCAGAGCTAATAAGGGATATATTAATTGCCATGGTTGTCGGTGCAACCCCTCTGGCAAATGCACTTTTCTTTTCGTTTCGCCTTGCCAATCTACTTCGAGTGTTTTTTGCAGAACGACCGTTCACTCTCTTTTATATTCGCTATATTCAGCAGAATCACATGATAATAAAAAGGCATTTAGGTTTGCGAATAGCGCAATATCTCTCACGTTTAATATTTTATTGATTTCTTGTCTTATTGCGCAGACTTCCTTTCCTTATATGATTCAAGTATTCACTCCTGAATTTGACCAAAATAAACTTGTGCTCATTGTGACTTTATTAAGAATTATGATGCCTTACATAATTTTTGTTTCAATAGCATCACTTATCGTGGAATATTGCAAATAAAGCAACATTTCGCTTCAACAGCTATTGCACTGATCATTTTGAATCTCTGTCTAATTGTTAGTTTATTTGTGCCTTACATAAAAACACCAGCCCACAATCTCTCCATAGCTGTCCTGGTTGGAGGGATTTTCCAATTATTGTTGATGCTATTTTTAGTACATCATAAATTAAAGGCTGCATTTTTTAAACATAAAATTGAGTAATAAAGTTGTTTTTTAAGCGGCCAGCAATTATCAGCAACTGTGTAACTCAAATAAGCCTATGGATTGATAAAATTATGGCCAGTTTTGTACCAAATTCAGTGTCCTATAAATACCGCAAAGAGTAATTGATACTGCATTTGGTATAGGGCTTCTTCCTTTAATTTCAAAACAAGTAAATAATACTGAAAAAACAGCCAAAATACAAAAATCTCAGCGTAGGGTTAATACAAACTGTGCCAACAACTGTCGCCTTTACTATCATTCCTGACATAATTTCACTTACGCTTTTTTCTCACGGTAAATTTGATCACTACGCAGTACAGCAGACTGCTGCCACATTACTAACCCTGGTTCCCAGATTTTATCTATGCTTACACTACTTTTGTTTCGCCCCTTTTCCAACTCACTCTCTCTCAATCCTTTGTTTAACAGAACTCTACGGTGATTCCTGTCAAGATGGGAAATACGAGTGCGGAGTAAAAACAATGGCAAAGAGCAAAACCTATTGGAATTAGTCTTAAAAGAAATTAGCCCGAGAGGTCCGTAGCGTTTCGATATTAGAACTACGCGGCTGGCGGCATTTTGAAACTGTCCGTCTCTCTTGGCGAATCAACCTGTTATGTTATTTCTGAGGCAGTAAGGAAGGGAAGAGAACTTGAGGATGTTGTCAGTTTTTGTTCGGAGGAACTGGTTGGTAACAACGACAACTCGAAATTACGGATGGGGTCGGTACCATGGCGCCATAGATCCAGAATTGGGTGACAAGAAGCCAACATACATCATCATCGGAGCTGGTTCAGCAGGATGTGTTCTGGTATATCTTTAACAGACTTGACAGAAAAGTCATATGGCGGTTACTGAAGAACACACAAAGGAGTTATAGTAACGTCCTATTCAGGCTAATCGATTGACAGAAAATCCTGCCAATCGAGTGTTGTTGGTGGAGGCTGGGCCACGAGATTCAAAATGGAATTGGAAATTTCATATGCCAGCAGCACTCATGTACAATCTGTGCGATGACAAGTATAACTGGTAAATTCCATTCTTTCTACCATAGAGTCAAACTACAAACAAATGTACCTGATATTGCATCTCATTTGGATGTAGAAGTGACAAGACGTAAATACTACTGAAATGCCTCTGGAAATTCCAGGACATTTGATAAGGTATTGGTTTTCCTTGACATGCTAGGCCATGGTTATATTCATATAATAATGAAAAATACTGTGAACGATGATTTGGGAATATTATTTTAAATAGAACGTTTTCTTTACTTATTATACATGTAAATTTACAGGTTTTACTACACTCAACCGCAAAAAAATATGAATGGCCGAACAGTTTACTGGCCTCGTGGACGTGTTTGGGGAGGCTCTTCCACTCTTAATGCGATGGTATACGTCCGTGGACATCCGCTTGACTATGATCGTTGGGAGCAAGAGGGGGCTACAGATTGGTCCTACAAGTATCCTTAAAATTCATGTTCTAGTTTCAGATTAGAAATTAGAGCCGGTTTATAACAGTTCGAACTTCTCGCTGGAGAAACTCATCATTTCAGGAATGTACTTCCTTATTTTAAAAAGGCTCAGACTCATGAACTGTCAAAGGGACCATCAGATCTTTATCGTGGTTGGAATGGTCCACTTCATGTTACGCAGGGAAAATGCGAAAATCCGTTGCACAAAGCTTTTATTGAATGCGGTGATCAAGTAATAATATTTCAGTTATATAATGTTATTTGCAGTTTCTTCGTAATATAGATTTCTGGAGAATTTTGGACTCAAGATATGATGAATAATTTCTGCAGTTTGGCATTGGTATTGTGGATGACATGAATGGATACAAACAGGAAGGAATAGCCCCAATGGATCTAACTATTCATAAAGGCTTACGGTGGAGTGCATCGAGGGCTTATTTGTGGCCTGTATGTAAAGAAGTTTTCTTTGTGTTAGTGTTTCTACGAAAATAAATAACTGCTATAGTGATGAATTAATTATACTCCTTCGTATTCTCTTTTCCAGGCACTTTCGCGCCCAAATTTACATACCTCGTCGAATATATTGTGTACACGCATATTATTTGATAGGAACAAAGCAGTTGGTATCGAGTTTATAAGAAAAGTGTTTTTTTCATTATTTTCTTAGCATTTTGATAGATTTTGAGGGATTGAGTACGGGAAGCAAAGCTAACTGATAGTAATTTAGTAATCTTTTGATAATAAATAGTATCTTAGCTTCAAATATTTTATCCAAATTCATATACGAGGTCAGTTTTTTTTTTCTTCTTTTGTGTATTTAGATCTGGTGGAGCATAAGCAGAAGCAATATGAAAGAGATTAGAATGTAATAACTTTGTGAAGTTAAGTATTTTTAACCTATTTTTGTCATAAAATGGTAACTGCACCTGAAAGTTTTCTATTTTGCAGAATGGACCACTTACCGATACTATCAATTCGTGGAATCGTGAGAAAGTATATTGTGAAGAAGGCGTAATTCTTGCCTGCGGTGCAATTAATACTCCACAGCTATTGCTTCTTAGTGGGATTGGGCCGGCAGATAATATAAAAGTAAAATTTTCAGTTCATGACTGTATTTAATCGGATTGATTATATTTAATAATTTCAGGCTCATTCGATTCAAGTGGTCGAGCATTTGCCAGGAGTTGGTAATAACTTGCAGGATCATCTTGAGGTTTACGTACAGCAGGTTTCTTTCCTTAAGATCTCCATTTTTACTGCCAACCTTCGACGCTCGTGTTTTTAGTGTAGTTGCAAAATAGATGAATTCAGGTAAATTGAAATTCAAGTTTCAAATATATTAATAATGCTTAGCAATGTACGCAACCAATTACACTTTACAACAAAAGTTCCTGGCGTTACCCTCATAATATGATCAAAGTTGGCTTGGAATGGTATCTATCTAAGACTGGACTTGGGGCGAGCAGTCATCTGGAGTCTGGCGGTTTTGTGAGAAGTACGCCAAGGGTTCGTTCGTTTTCTTCTGTATATGTTTTTCGGTGCTTCGACTTCGTTATTTTCAAATGAACTTGACCAAGGTGAATTTTCTAGTAATTTTGTTTCCAGGTTTCTCATCCAGATATTCAGTTCCATTTCCTCCCTTCTACGGTGCATGATGATGGACGCAGTACTGGTAAATGTCACGCTTACCAGGTAATCATTCCATTCCTAAATTTCTGAAAATCACTTGCTTTCCATGCTTGGAAAATTCAATTTTGTTATGCACTATAATTCAGTGTTTGATTAATTTAGATACATGTCGGTCCACTGCGATCCAAGTCTAAGGGTACAGTAACGCTGGCTAGTAATGATCCCAGGCGACATCCGCTCATGAATCCAAATTATTTGGATCATATAGACGACTATGTCGAATTTAGGCTTGCTGTACGAATTGCAAGGTTTTATTTGAGATTTTTTGATAAATAACTTTATGCTTTGAAGAAATTAAAGTAATTTAGTTATTTCCCTAATTGTTCTAGAGCACTGTTAAGTCAACGAAGTTTTGATAAATACCGCGGCGATGAATTATTACCCGGAGAAGATTGCCAGAGTAACGAACAGGTACGATAGGCTCTACTATTTCACTGATTGTGCTGACGGATTCATACTACATGAAATGTTAAAGTTTTAAAGTATCACCATGTTAAATATTTTGACAGATTGACGAATTTGTTCGGACGATGTCTGCTTCTGCTTATCATCCATCCTGTTCATGCAAAATGGGAATTGAATCCGACAAATTAGCTGTGGTTAATCCGAAAACAATGGGCGTCTATGGAATTGGGAATCTTTATGTAAGTTTGCTGTTTCCACTGCAAATGAAAAGACGTAGAACTACAAATCCTGATTAAAGAAGCAATTCAAAAGTAATCAGTTGAAGGTAGCAGACGCATCAGTAATGCCATCAATTGTAAGTGGGAATCTTAATGCTCCAGTTATCATGCTAGCTGAAAGGGCAGCAGATTTAATACAAAGGAATGCACCACTGGCTGAGGAAAATGTACCAGTATGGTCTTCAAGTGCAGAAGATTCAGCAAAACATATTTCCACAAACAATTCATAGTTCAGAAATCATTACTTTGCTCAGTTGTTAGTACTGTTACCGTGGTTCATAGCTTTTAAATAGTTCATAGCTTGTCTTATTTACTAGTTTGTCATTGGTTTTTTGTTGTCTCGAGTTATTAAATGCCTGATTCTCCATTGATTTTTTAACTTAGTCCATGTTAGCCCTTCTAGTCCTTGGAAATTTTTAAGACTTTATTGGTTTTTCATGATAGCAAACATTATTATATTATAAATAGAATATGCAGATATCCTTCAGAACATTTCCTAGTTGCTGCGAATAGTGTTTTTCAAAAGTAAGTTTGTGTTGGTTCTCAGAACAGCATTTTCGGACACCAAACAGTCTTCAAATCAAATCAGCAGCAGTAATGTCATTTTTTTTCTACCTAATCGGAGACTCGTATTTTCGTAACTCCTTTGTTTTTATTCGCATTTACTTCTTAAGCATTCTTTTCTGGAATCATTGCATCCTACTACATTAATGGGTGTCCTTTTTGATCATTTCAATCATGCATATATAAATATATTGTTATCCACACCTTATATATTGTGATTTGTCGTCTGGTCTCAGTGATCATATGGGTACAATGCATTTTGTTATACAGCTGGTTGTTTACAGACCCAACTTTTTAACCTTGACAGTACAGATTATCTGCTGAGGTTAGGCAGGTATCAGATTATTTTTATCAAAGATGTGGGATTAATGTATACAGAAATACTTCATCTTTCTTATAAGTTATAAATGATCTCGAATATGCCATCGAATATATAGTACAAGACAACTGTCCTGGTTTTCATTTCAGTAAATAAATTATTTACACTGAATAACTAATGCAAAATGTTTGGTCGAAGTCTGCAAATCTAAGCAAATCAGTTTTTAACATTTGTCAGCATGTCTTCATTTATCAGCGTTTTGTCGTTCAAACAAACTAAGGCACTTTGAAAAACCTTCAGATTAACGGTAATCGAGGCACCTGTAATACTGTAATGTCCAACATTTTCACTTCAGTCGTCTAATTTATATTCTTTAAAATATGGTGGATGGCGTCATTTATAAATAGTAAAATTACACCATAGATACGGTCCTGTCGGTTGGAGGGCTTGCAAATATTGTGGTGCGCCTGAAAAGTTGCTGAAATTCACCCTTGCATTGGCAGTACTGAGAAATACTAAGCAAAGAGTTCGCTACAAATTAAAGAATATTAAAAGATGAAGCCTACATCATTTATGTGATAGAAAGCGCCCCGTTCCAAATAAGCACTTTCCGGTGGCACTAATATGCCTTTCTGACGCATTATAAATGGCGCTTTCTCCGTTTCTGCCACCGAACTTATCACGGGTACTGTATCAATAATTTTAAGAAAATCTTGATGAAGCTGAAATAAAGCAATTAACTCGGATTTGCTTACCACATAAACTATGGACACTTCAGTAATTACGGACTGTCTGTACCTGTCTGTTTATTGTACTCTGCTGGTACAAAAGTTTTACATCATCAGATGGCCGCACGCCTAATGGTGCATACATCGCATAGGGACTGCCTCGGTGCGGCGTTGCCATAAAAAGTATCCCCATCGTGCTGCGACGTATTTCTGAATCATCTAATAAAATTCGCTTCACTAACAGTCCACCTGAAAGAGGCCTGCAGAAAATAGGAATCACCTAAAACAACAAACAAGTATGATAAATTATCGTCAAAAAGAATTCAAAATATTTACCCATGCTATGACAAATGAACAGAACAGGTCGATCACCAATACCAGCTGTTCTGAGTTCCACCGCAAATTTTCGAGCCCTTGTGCTCAGTGTTTCAACAACTCCTACAAAATGTACAAGAGAGGACAAGTAATCAATAGCAAGTATTCGCATTGGAACAGGAACATCCTCTGGAAGCCACGCCTGAAATAAGCAGCTACAAACTATGCTATCAAGGATTGCTAATTTATATCAAAAAAATTCTCGTAAAAATTACCCTTGGCCAACATCGGGAGCGTAGTGTCTTTGAAGAATTATCTCTTTCTCGCCAGGTCCAAAAAACGCTACCGCGGATACCATGAATTAGCACTAGATCGACTGTCGGTGGTTGGTCATCTTCAGGACGAAAAAGTTCATATATATTAGTTTTTAATGGCTTTCTACTGCTATCAAAAACACTCAAACCATTATTGCAGATCTGGAAACTTGGCTAAAATTATAAAAAGATTCTTGTGAAAATCCTAAGCAATATAATATTCAATGGCATATAAATTATATATGAATTTAAACAATTATGGAAGCGCATAAAATGTTCTAAATATGCATATTCAGAACAATCCAGGCACTTCCTTGTTATCATGGGACAAGCCAAACTCTACAATATGGATGATTTATTTTCCTATTGTATCCATGCTGAACGTTGATTTTGCTAAACAAGATGAATATTATAAGCTTTCAAATTTATCGAAAGAAAAATTTTAAGTAAATTTATTATAACAGCAATACGAAGTCTAAAAGAGACTTAAAAAGGGGTAATATAATGTACCTTCTCAGCCATTAGAACTTCTTCAAAAACCTGTGAATTAGCCATAGCAGCGAGCACTGGAAGCCATTCTGAAAGTTCAATTTCATTTTTTAAACCAAGAAGAAAGCAACTCGGTTTAGTAAAGTAACAACGATGGAAATAACCTGAATTTGCAACTGCTGTTGCGCAGTACTTATTCTGCATGACAATGTTTGCTAATATTTTCAATGTATTTAAATAAATGCTATGATTCGTCTCTCGATAATGGTTGCAAAGTTCCAACAGCAGTGCAAGAATGTCTTGATTAATAAGTTCCCTTCCAAATCCAGTCTGAAATGCAAAATTTCGAATTAGATGAATGTGAATTTCACACTAATGTTTAACAGTGTGAAATAAATAATTACTACGTGAAACTCTTGCTCACGGTACTTCATCAAAACTAATAACTACTTCTGGAATAGAATGAATAGCGAAATTTGCAACAGAAGAAAGTGTTGAATGAAATCAAATGTGAAACTGTTACCAAAAAATAATAAGAAATACCTCGGTTATGATAACAAGCTGGGAAAGAAATCGATTCAAGCGTAGGTCTTGAGATCGGCGTCTTTTTAGAAAGTATTTATAAGATGAAGGATCATCTTCGTCACACATATGCGGAATTAACCATTTTACAGTTTCTTCCCACTTGTCATCGATTATAAGCTACAACTCTTGAGAGTTCTTCAAAAATTACGTTATAAATACAAAAATCCAACCTTTATTTTTAATAAATAAGGTAGTTTGCGGTATGATGTGAGGTAATAAAGGCTTCTAACCCGTTTTATAGCATTTTCCAACATTCCAACTGATTTAACAGATTTCTCAGCTAATGTTGTAGCAGTTCGATTACATAAGGGACTACCACGCAATGCGAGACGAAATCGAGCTTGTGTATTTAGGATGCAGAATTCGACGTCCGCTTCTGGAATATGTGTGGACTCTTCATTTATCTTTTGAGTCATTACAGTGGTTAGTAAAATTTAACTTGTTTTTTCGAGATACTCCACAGCCGCTTTAGTGTTCTTATTTTGGTTGAGCATTGCGATGGCTTGTACAGTATTCTGGATTTTTTCATCTCGACGACCTTTGAGTGTCGCGAACAGACTTCTGGGAAAAAAATTTTTACTCTTCGAAGCATATGCTTAATTGCATGTCTGTCTAAATTATGTCTCATTCCTTTTCTTTTTTCGAAGAGTATAAAGTAAAATAAATGAAAAGTGCTACTTAAATTATAAACAAAATTTAACAAGTGACGAAAAATTACCCGAATCTGTCCTGAAGTCTTTCTTATTTACTTCGCTGAACCTCGTTTTCTTTCAAAATTCAATTCAGTTGTGGCAGCAAAATTTGGGTACACAAAGTTTGAAAGGGTAACTCACCCGAGCGAAAATGGAGCGACAACGCGCATCAGCATTTTCAACTGTTTCGGTGTGTATACTTGTTAATCTCTCCTTTTAGTTCAGAAATTTCATGATCTAAAATGACGGCTAATGGAAACATTAATTCAGAGTAAAATAAATTGCAGTAGAACATTCAGACGAGAATGTTCAGCAGCGACCTTTCAATATCATTCGCAACTGCTCTGTGGCTCCTGGCATAAAACGGTCATTCTCTGACTTGAATATAATACACCCAAATTCCAGCAATTATTTGACACTTAGTGCGTGACACGTGACGCTAACGACACTCACGCATGCAATGATTGCAATGGTCAGAATGCAGAAGGAATGATAAGAGTTGAAGAACGTTGTGCAACTATCATTCTACACAACACACTATTTCTCTTCACCGTCAATTTCTCATTCACGTCTTCGGATTATAAAGTCCCAGTCTCTATTGTATCTCTGATTTTATATATTCAAATAATAGCACTGTTTCGTGAGTTTTCATCTGCATAGAAGTATGAGGCGCTGAAGAGAGTTAGAGATTGGGAAGGGCGAGTGATGGAGAAATGAGGAGAGAGAGAGGGAGAGATAGAGGGGACTTTTGAGGATCAGTAATTATTGTACCCTTAGTTGTTTTGTCCAATTATTTCCTCGCTCTGAACCTATTTGACATAGTCAATTTTTCTTTTCACTGATCGTATTCTGCTAATCAGATGATATTTTCTAAATGCTATTTCCGGAAGCGACAATTATTAAACTGTAATTGCTGACTAGAAGTTATTTTACAGATGGTGATTGCATTTAGCATATGATAGAGTAGGAAGAAGTTATAAGCTCTTTTTAATCAACCAAAGGAAGCAGAGATGGAAAAGAGACTGAAATTAATTCATTATTTCACCATTGTTGCCAATTTATTTCTGAACGAGGTTCAGCGAAGGAAATAAGAAAAACAGACTTCTGGGAAAAAAATTGAACCTCTGAAGTGGTGCTTAAGATCGATACACTCCAAATTTTTATTCCTGATGATAATTCCACATCTATCCATCACTACCGATATGAATAGCTGAAATGATCAGTGGAATTCTTCACATCAATATTTCAGTTAAACGTAACTTATCTGGCATTAAACTTTTTTGAGAAGTGGTAAAGAACAATATCAAAACTGAAGTTTTCTTGAGGTGTCAGCTGGAAATGATATCCTGCATTTGATATACCTAAGTTGTTGCACAGCTGGCGTACTGAAACGAAACGTACTAAAAAAAAAAAAAAAAAGTGGCCTGGGGATTAAACCTTCTTGTTACTGGAAAGGTAATCAAACTTGTTGAAGTCATACATGTTCAGTTTCAAAAATTCGAATTCGCAGCAGGTTAAAAGAAACTTTCGATATGCATTCATCCTCAGCTACACTCTTACGGATCATCCCCGACAGGAGTAGCAAGCTCTTTGGATCGTGTCTGTGTTTTTGTGATTCACTCCTCCTTTTAGTTGCATTTGCCCACTTCATCGATAAGCTTCTCTTAGGCACTTACTCCATCCACCTATCTGTCTGTCCATCCATCCCTACTTTTACTTCCACTTTGTCTATCTGAATGTAATCTGCTGAGTACCAGTGATATATCACTAGCTAATTAAGCGTATGACATCACCTTAATCATCATCCTTATTTGGGTACAACTTTTCAATACATTTCCTTGATCATTTCTCGCTCTATTATCAAAATCTTTTTTTTCTTTGTTTTTCTGTTATAATGCGCTTTTGACGATTATTGTGAGTTACTGCAACTATCTTAGGAGATTATCAATATAAGCTGAGTATGGCATCCGATGGGGCTTATTATCACCAGATGTCGTCCTCATATGCCAACAGCGCATAACTGAAAGTTTGCATGCGTTCAGGTAAACATTTGTCAATTTTTTTTTCCTTGACATTAAATTTCTGCTTGCTAATAACAAGTTGCACATTGCTGTTTGACCATTCTGCGTTTATAATCACTGAACACCAGTGGACTGGTTGAAGTACAAATTTGGATAATTTCTAAGTGATTGATAATTCTTATAAATAAGTGTGTGAGTTAGAGTTGAGTTGTTACTTAGTATCCGAATTTCTACAAGTAATCATATTATCTAGTGATTATTCAATGGCTGGTTTGAAATGTTATCGGTGTCCAATAAAATAATCAGATTTTCTAATTCATAACGATGAAAATTAAAATGAATTACAGTTTTTTTGAATACATTCTTGTTTCTTTTGCATCATAAGTAAAATTAATAGAATAATGTACACTATTGTATACAGGGCTCCTTGCATTTGAAAACATTCTCTTTAACAATAGAAGTATTGCATTCATTCTTATTTAATCGGATCTTATAAAACTTCCCTCTTCTTCCCCTCTTCTTCCTCATTTCTCTTCCCTCATACGTTCGAAAACTTTTATAAATATCTCTCCTCGAAATATTTACCAAAAAGCTTTCTTCTAATCACGAATTTAGTTGATTATATATATATATGGGAAATAGTAAAAATGCACATTCAAAGAAGAAAACTTCTTTGCCAGTTCATTTTCCAATTCCGTTGGGGAAATCTCACAGCCAGCTGCTCTGTTATCGCCACTACCGAATACTCTTATTACGAGCTTGTGAACAAAACGATTTAAAGTGCCAAATAGTAAAATGTTTCCGGATGAAGTAATGGAGTCTAATCTCATTCCTTTTTTCCAAAGCATGTGAAGGAATGTTGATAATAGATGGCAAAGTAACAGATGCTAACAGATCTTATGCTCATTTATAAATTTGAATATTAGTATCAAATAATCTCTCGAAGAACCGTTAAATAATATCTGTTACAAATTTTATAAGTGAATAAACCATATTAAATTGTATTTTCACAGTAATTGTAAAAAAAGCTGAAAACACAGTTTTTGGGGTTGGTATTGAAATGTTGTTAGGGACAAGTAATTTCCATCTAAAAATATCTGAAGATTTTTTAGGAATATTTCCTCTTTAATAATTTTTCGTGAAATATTGCTTTCTTTTTTTGTGTAAAGATCGGAGTAAATTTTTATTCATTTTTTTTTTTTTTTTTTTTGGAGATGTCGATCGCTATTTATTCCTTGATGGTAGTGGTAGTTGTAGTAGCAATAGTAAGAGAAATAAAAATGATGAAGCGGTATTCTCCTTCGAGCGAAAAGTTCAGAAAAAGTGTTATTATTAGGCGGGGAGAGGAGAGGGGAGGAAAATGTTATTAGTTGAAGTTGGCAATAAAGACTAATGCAAGCCAAGAAGTGTTTCCGTTTTGTGTGTGGTTGTGAATATTGTTGAAGAGATCTTTAGTTGGTCTCCTTAACTAGGTCCATCATCATCTGTTATGGGGCAGTTCATTCTTTTAAAAAAGAACTGATTCCCTCAAGCCTCATTAAGCACGTAAGTACATCATGTTCTGTATCTCATCATTACTTGTTTCACTTGAATGATGACTAACTTTTAATTTTGTGTTGCTGTTCACATTATAACTGGGAAAATTTTTATCAGTGATATCAACATCAAGCATTTACCGTAACGAACATTTAATCTATTAATGCTTATTATTTTCACTATTGTCATTGCCATCTGTCATTAAAATCGTCTTTGCGCTATTTATTCAAATGATATCGAAGCCTTTAGGTATCTCTTATACGAATTTTTGACATAAACATCTGAACATTTTAAGGGCAAAACTTAATTCTGAAGAACATTTAGATTGATTCAAAAATTTGCTGTCAAAAAAGTGATGTTTCAAAAATAAAGCGCTCTACTTAATTATAATTGAGAGTCTAGGTTTTGATTTTCTCAGCTAGGAAAGAAAGTGTAAAAAAGTTATCGAAAAGTTTAAATGCTCAAATGACTGATACATGTTTTATGTTAGATTCTGAACAAATGATCACAGTGACGTATTTAAGTACAAAAGGAAAAAGTGACCGTTATTATTTTGAAAGCGATTTCAAATGAAATATGAAATAATACATATAGCGAAATGTTTGTATAACTCTATGATGAGTATTCTTTAAGCTCATATTCATTTTCATGCTTGCTTCTCCTTGTAAGTGCTGTTTTATATTTCGTTATTTCTTTCTAGGTCATTTTGGAAATAAAATCCCATTCCCTTTCAATGTTCCTTCCAAAAGTTCAGAAATCCGACAACACTAAATTGCAGAAGTCAAAGAGAAAATGACTGAGATTAAAAAATATCGATCACAGAATTATATAAATGTTCAACTAATACTATGAAATCCTAAACAGCTATTCAAAGTTGATGTAACCATAACCACTTAGTTTGCTTTTCTTTTGTCTTTTTGTCACAAAAGATGCAACATTTCATTAATAAATTAGTTCGTCTCACACACTGACTTTATTTCATCAAAACTTTTAGCCAAAATCACTAAAATGCATTTCCTCAATTAAGATATGTTTATTTATGATCCATTCAGACTGACACAGTGATGCAGTAGATTAAAGAACTTAAAGATTTAATGTTAATTATTTATTTTGAAGCTGGAAAATTTGCCTGCGCAACAGAATGTAAAAAGTGAGGGAGACAGGTTAACAAAATTTTCTCCAAAAAATTAAATTGAGATCTTATTACTTTTATAGTGAATTCTTTCTTCATATTTTTCATATAAA